GACAGATGTTTTCGACTGGATCAAGGAAACGTCGGCGACTCTTTGTGATGGGACTCGTCCTATTGCTACTGTAGGTATCCTAAAGGGAGTCGCATTATAGTATTCACTGAGACTAAAAAGGGCGCAGATGCTTTGACGAGGGAGATGAGGTGAACCGGGATAGGCTTGGCCCTCGTGAGCTCTTTGTAGGTACAACAACTTCAACGCAGCGTCTATTCATGGCGATAAGGAACAACGTGAGAGGGATAGGATACTGAACGACTTCAAGACTGGTGAGTCGCCTTTCCCAAGGTTGTTGTTCACGAGTGTCATCTCTTTTAGGTCGCTGTAATGTATTGGTGGCGACCGATGTTGCTCAGCGTGGACTTGATATTAAGAACGTTGAGTGGGTGGTCAACTACGACATGCCTAAGTGAGTCTCCATACAGTTGGTCATATCATCTCTGAGTTGGTTAAGGACCATCGAAGACTATGTCCATCGGATCGGCCGTACAGGAAGGGCCGGCGCTGTAGGCAATTCACTCACATTCATAACTAACGACACTCACACCCCTGATAGAGTGAGGATGGCTAAGGACATCGTCAAATGCATGGAAGACGTCAAACAGGTGACCATGCGGATCTTTACCATCTGGGCCCATCCTCGTTCCATCCCAGACACCCCCACAATCGCTGTATGACATGGCGTCCATACGTATTGCATCAGTCAGGGGCTCCGGTGGTGGGAGTTTCCGGGGAGGCTTCCGTGGTGGCCGAAGATGAGACTATTGATGGTGTTGTGGGTAAACTTTTCTGTCGGTTTCAGAGACATTTTCATCGTTTCCGTCTTTCACTGTTTTCACTGTTGCTAATCAAACCATAGGCGAATCGTAATCATGCAAAACCGTTTCATGAAGATTTTGCCACAGTGGGCCTTGGGTTGTCAGTAGCGGGACTGTTACAGTGATTCGATGACCCTCTGGCCACGATAAATCTGTATAACTCGTCAAACCCCACGGATATAGCGCACTTAGCAATGCTAAGTTAGCATATCTATAAATTGACGAGCTGAGACTAACGAGCTCGCCTCAATAGCGCGGTTCGAATCCTAGGCTGGTGGAGTTGCTCGGTCGGTCAATTGAGATGCTTAGCCTCAGTGGACAAGGCGGAACGATGGGCGGGAGCTCAAGGTTCCCAGGTGGAGCGACGAGAGGGCCTGCCTAGAATTGGCTTCCCAATTGGCTGTATCAATTTTCAAATGTCCACTTTGAAGGCAACACAACCATTCTGTATATGTCTAGTCAAGGAAACTGAGGGATGTTCAACTCAGCAACTTCAGGCAGCACCGTGCGCATAAACGTGTCCATACTATTCAGCTGTTGGATAGCTCGCACCGTCTGTAGCATACGTGGGGCGTAAAACAGCTTCGGGTTCAAGTCGACAGCTCTGCAGCACACCACATCAAAATCAATCGAGCGACTTCCACGTACCTCTGCAAAAGATCCTCCGCCTCCTGGTTGCGCATCCGCGATAGATCATCCCATGCCTCACACATGATGATCCCACCGAGGTTCGCCAGAGCATAGCTATTCATGGGGTCCAGCTCAACAGCTAAACGCAGGAGTCGTTCTTCCTCAGACTGCGACCGTGCGAAAAGAGCAAGCCCATTGACCGCATACGAATTCTTCGGATTGGCGGCCTAAAACCAACTCACGCGATAGACCTTCAGCAACTTTCTCACGTGGGCTTCCTCATACAGGGCCCTTGGCTCTCTGCCTATCTCGAGTAGCGTACAT